TAAAGAAGTATGCAAGTACCTAGCATTAGAAAATCTTTTTAGTGCTGCAGTACGCCGCTTTCAGCCATATCACGAAACGATTGCTAAGATACCTCGTTCGTTGAAATACACGCGATAACACAAACAATCACATGCATTTATTATTGTGCACATAGCATATCCATTGTCACACGGTAATAATCACTATAAGCATTTTATAGAAAACGACACACTTTTAGAGAAAATATTGAAACAACACAATAATACACTAATAGTTTTATTTAACACAGCACGACTGTTATATTTTTATATGTGTATAAATTTAGCTTTAGTCAAAGAATGTTTGGAACAAAAGAAACTGAAAAACACAAGAACATGTGCATAGACTTCTCCGAATGAAAGAAATGAAACTCTACATGACGATCGTTCGCCGGCGACTGACTGGGGCAACAAACACTACACTTTTGTAATGCGTTTGTGTGCGCGCAGAGCGAGATGAACGCGGGCCGAGGCAGCATGTGCGAGTATGTCGGCCCGATGATCATGCACGCGCCCCGCTGCCAGCCTGCGCGCCTTCGTACGCGCCGCGGCGGCTCGGTTGAACCACGGAACAAGAGATACAGACAAGAATGCAGAGCCGAACATATTATGACGGAAACCTTTGTACTACATAATACCCAAGACCTTTCAGAATTGTTTCATTCATTTTGATCGACTTCATCAAGCTTAATCACTTTTGTAATTATTCACGATACGGCTTCATTGCTAGTGTTCTGATTGACTGCCTCCCTGAATAGAGGGACTAGTATTTATATACAACAAGAATTGAATTTCGAAACATTTCCTGAAATTAAGTTCTCTTATTCTTGTACTTGTATAGTGTTTAAAGAAAATTGCTGGAACTTCTCGCACCGTAATTTAATTTTTCTCTAAAAAGCATTTTTTGAAAATTTTATATTTGTACAGTTAGTAAAGAAATCACTTGATTCTTCCTCCCCATCATTTCTTGATACCAACTCAGGCAAAATATTTTTTTAAATCATATCTTTTCGCACGCTCCATCGCAGTTTAACTGTTAAACATAATAAATCTTGGTATGAATCCCAAAGAAATAGAAACAAAATATGCATCTATTATAAAAATATCTCATAATTTGTGTGCATATAACTTCTAATCATTTGATCATTGTGATTTCCAAATTCTATTTTCTATTGGAAACTTTTTTATTGAATCTTCGCTGAGAAGATCCCACAAATTTAATCAATTTTTCACTTTATCAATACAAGTGAAGTGCTTCTCAAATTATTAAGATTGGCCGCTCTGTTCTTTCTAAAACTGATGTCATTTCTTGCACTCTGTGGCCGTATATTCGAAACAGCTAGACCTGCCTTTTCCAAAAACTCAGCTTGTCTATCCGTCAATAGGAATCGAATGTTTTTTGAATCATTCCAATCGGCTGATCTGTGTAAAAAAATTGTATGCACACATACATAACATACATCAGTTTTTCCTAATATGCCAAAGACTCTTAAACGTAAAGATATGCATCAATCGGCTTTTGAAAACATTAACAAAATTTTAGGTATTTAAGTTAAAAATGTACTAAACACAATTTAACTATTGAAGGAAGGAAGGGTTGCAAAGACTAACAGGCCCAAATTGGAATCACAATCATATTGTAATGTACATCTCTGTAGTTGCATAGTAGATTGCGCTCGGTACATCATGATTGGATTTATGTGAATATAATTTTTTTTCGTTTTCGGATCGCCAGCGATGCCGTAACTCTCCAGCGGCTTTCATGAAGAAGATGAGATGATTTAAGGAAACGAATAATATAATATAAGCAACGGCTTCTACATCTATAATGCGATCAAGTAAGAAACAACAAGATCTAAATGCTACAAATATATAAAACCTTTTATCTGTGAATTCTCGAATTTGAAATTATAGCAATGAATGTAAAGTTCATTAATTAAACGTGAAAATTAAGTAAATTGCTATTTATTTTTAAAATGCTTAATATTGAAAAATACTTAGAAATTTAAATTAAATCACAAGAGCATAGACAGAAAAAAACAACAAGATCTAACCATAAGAAACAACAAAATCTAACAGTAAGAATCAACAAGATCTAAATGCTACAAATATATAAAACCTTTTTTCTGTGTATTCTCGAATCCGATAATTATCCCAATAAATGCAAAGTTCAGTAATATGGAATTTTAGATCTAAATTTCTATTTATTTTTGAATTAGTTAATAATAAAAAATACTTTAAAATTTAAATTAAATTTAATTTAATTCTAAATTACACAAAATTTGCAAGCGTTTGCTTCATAGATTATACACAAAAAACATACTAACTAGTGGGGTGTATGACATCGTGCCTTAAGGCAAATTGCTGGTACTTCCCGTACCGTAACAAAATGTTCGAAGAATACTGAATGTTTTCAAATAGATTATTATAAATATTGTAACATTGTCTAATATTTATAAGAATTATATAAACTGAATTGCAAAGTTGAAATTATTTGTTTAAAGTATATTAGAACTATAGTCAGAATTAAAAATAAAATCTGAATTATTGAAAAGTTGAAACAATTTTTTTTTCCAAAATCAATTTTTTTGTTAAGACAAGCAGAAAGTTCTTTGAATCATTTAATTCGGACGCTTAGTTCTCTCAAAAACTGTCATTTTTTACACATTTAGCTCCGTATCTTCAAAATGGCTGGGCCTGCCTTTGCCAAAAACTAATAAACACTTCTCCCAATCATTACTAATTGAATGTTTTTAGATCATTCAAATCAGATGCTCCGTTCTCTCAAAAACTCGATATCTATTTTCTGCACTCTTTGCTCTTTATCTCCGTAACGGCTGGACCTGCCTTTGCCGAAAACTAATCAGCTCATCTCCCTATCAATAGGAATCGAATGTTTTTTAAACCATTCAAATCGGTTGATCCGTGCGCCCGAAAACGTGACTGGAAATTTGTATCCATACATACATACACACACACACAAACATCTATTTTTTCTGAGGTATGCCAAAATGTTCAGAAACCTTCAAAACGTCGAGAAATGTAAAAAGTTTCAATTTCGATTTTCGGCCCATTACAATAACTTACCCTACGGGAAGTTAAATATAAATCCAAAATGATTAATAATATCTGTTAATCATTATTTATCTGTTTGAATTCATGCTGCAAGTCAATATAATATTGAATTTCTAAATAAATTATTGTAATTAAACTATTCAATTGAGAAATTATCAAGTTATTTGAAATTAACTTATACATTTGATTCAAACAAATTAAAAATTATCGTAAAAATGTAAATTTTATGGTGTAGTACAATAACAATATATAAATCCTATGTAAGCTTAGGAAACATATGCTCTCAATATTGAGAATCCCTGCTTTAGTTTCCGAATTCTTAAGAAAACTTTGATTTTATCCCAGTTTTTGTTTGTGCTCTGGAACCGAGGGTACGACGCCAGCTGTCTCACTTATCCCATACACAAGACCTGACTCAACGCGCGTAGTATAGACCGATGAGACTGCGAGCGGCGTTTCCTGGAAACTACGCGATTCAACCGGGATCGAGCCACCATTACGGCACAACAAACCCGCCTCGGATAGAACACCCTCGCGTTAAATAAATTACGATAAGAGAGGAGCACGCTTTCTTGCTTCCTTGAGAAACGATTGTGTATTACAAGTTACATACGATGCCTTACGTGTATTTTCTTGGAGATGCTCATCTCTAGAAAAACACGTACAGTAAACATTGAACGTAGGAATTTGATAACTTTATATGTACGCAAGGCGATCCAAGAAAGCGGTAAAAGCAATAAATGGTATGAGTTCGGTAATGTCCGTAAATTGTTTTTATTATCATGATTGATTAAGTAATTATTGTCAATAAAATGATTATTTTATATGTGTTAATTTAGTAAATTAAAAGCTATTAATGACTTATTAAGGGCCTCATAAATATCGCGTGATGTAAAGCAATTTAATGACGCATTTGAAGGATTATATACCCAAATAAATAACAGCTGATATCATAAAATACAATATACTAAAACTCCACCCAGCAAAAGTTAACTAGATTTGAATTAATTATTGCGAGACAAAACATTATTAACTACCCGAAAGAGATGTTTGTTTTATCCAAAAAAGTGGAATTTTATATTTTCTCGTCAGTGTGAATCGAATGAGACCAAATTTGAAAAAAAGTATATGAGTGTGTATATGAACTGATTTTGCGATTTATAGTCGACGTTTTCTAAAAAAAAAACAACTTAAAAAATTTAAAACCCATTCCATGTAACTCGATAAGGACTGTCGTTGATTAGTTTTTCACAATGATTGGCCAAGCGTTTTTTTGTAATTAGCAGAAAAGTGCAAACTTTATCATACAGGTTTTAGCTCTCAATTCTGAATTGATTTAAAAATTTCACTGTTCGAAACATATTGATTGGAAATGGCGGTGATTAGTTTTTGGTAAAGATGGGATGGGCCGTTTCTTCGCCATTAAACGTTGTTTTTTTTATTCACTTACAACAGTCCAGTTAAGGACATTTAGTAAATTTGTGGAAATTACAATTGTCAGTAGTAATAAGGATATTGTATACTACGTTTTTTTTTGTAATTAGCAGAAAAGTGCAAACTTTATCATACACGTTTTAGCTCTCAATCCTGAATCGATTAATAAATTTAAAAAAACTGTTCGAAACATTTTGGTTGGGAATCGTGATGATTAGTTTTTGGTAAAGATGGGACGGGTCGTTTCTTCGCCATTAAACGTTGTTTTTAATTCGATATTATATTTACAACTGTACAGTTAAGGATATTTAGTAAATTTGTGGAAATTATAATTATCAGCCAATTGTCAAGGACATTGTATACTAGTCCGCCGCCGCCCTCCGAAGAGTACACAAGTCTCTTATATATATTTTTCACATTTATTATTCTCAATTTCTTTTCAATTTTAATTTTAAAATAAGTTACTTTATTACCTCCTAAGAAATATAATATACCTGGTGCATTTAATACCATTGTGTTGTGAACTCACTCGAACGGACGATTTCTACTATCTGCCCATACAGTTTTTACCTGCGCCCTTTATAGTCAAGATGGTCAATACAAGAAGTCAAATGGTGAGTAATATTTCAGTAGATGAAACTGTTTTTGAGGATGCGTTTAATTTGGATAGCACCGTTGTCTGCGCCGAGTGTTTGTGTTTACGTGAATGTAAAAATTCACTGAAAGCAGCGCTTGACGAGAAAGACAGAATTATTGCCAGGTTAACGAAAGAGTTGGCAATAGCCAATTCCAAGTTGAATGGCGAAAATTCAAAGGTGCAATCTGGATTAAGGGCATCACCCCCAGCAGTTAATAGTACAAGTCAATCGGCCAAAGCGTCTCCCTCACATCCTTCTTCCTCCTCTTCCCAGGCCACTCCTAAACTACTGATTTTGTCTGACAGCCACGGCAGATCTTGGTCAGAGTTCTTAAGAGGTTTGTTAGGTGCCAAATTCAGTGTGCTTGGAGTGGTCAAACCTGGTGCGGGGTTCTCTAGCGTGGTTGCTGATATCTCGGGTCTAGTTGCGAATTTTGGCGCTCGTGATCATGTTGTTATATTGGCCGGAACGAATGACACTAAATCTAATTATGCTATTCGGGATGCATTAGAGATAGCCCGTCATTCATGTAGCAAGACAAATCTTTGTATTGTTACAATTCCTTACCGATACGACGATTATGCTCTGAATTCCAGAATTTTCAACGCCAATCGTTGCATTTTCCGTGACTTTGGTCGTGGTAAATTCAATAATGTTAGGATCTTTGATATCAATAGGTTCGTTAACAGAACTGACTACACCGGGCACGGCCTTCATTTTATTTCCAGTGCCAAACAGAAGCTTTGTCGTATTCTCGCAAGAGATATGCTGCCTCTGATAAATTCCGGTAACACCAAATCCTTTCGCCTTCGCTGATGACGTTAATTCATTTATTCTCTGTCAGAACATACAAAATTTACCTAACAAATTAAACAAACTTGATATAGTTCTGACTAAATATAAACCAAATTTTTTATGCTTGACTGAACATTGGTTAACCGACTCTAAACTTTTATTAATCAAATTAAATGGTTATAATTTATGCTCCTTCTTTGCCCGGAATGTCTTCAAACACGGCGGTGTTTGTATCTTTGCTTCAACAAAATTGAAATGTAAAAGTATCAAAACTAATATCTTGCCTATAGAAAAAGTCTTTGAATTTTGTGCCATCGAAACCCATTTTTCTCACAGCACGTTTTGTGTTGTTTGTGTTTACAGATCTCCTGACCAAGACGTCACGAAGTTTATAAGTTTAGTATATAATCTCTTAGATGAACTCTTTAATAAATATGATTCAATAATTGTGTGCGGTGACTTCAATATCCATTTAAACAAAAGAGATCGGATTAGTGATAGTTTCAAATTTAGCATGGAATCATTTGGATTATTTCCTACTATTAAAGACCCTACAAGGATAACTATCTCCTCCTCATATTGTATTGATAATTTTTTCACAAATATATCTACGGTAAATTCCTGTGTAATTAATACCGGACTTTCTGACCATTATGGAATTTTGCTCTCTTTGCCTAATACTACTAATTCTACTTCCCACGTATATCGGTATAAAAGAAAATTTAATATAAAAAATAAATTACTTTTCAAGGAACTACTAGAAAAAGAGACTTGGAATATGTTGGATCAATCCAGTTATTTTACATTTGATACATTTATAAATTCCATTTTACATAATTTCAACACTGCTTTCCCTATATCAAAACATAAATTGAACATTAATAAAACTCAAACGTGGTACTCTCAAGGCCTATGTATTTCATATAATAAATTATTGCGTTTAGAAAGAGAATCCAAACATAATAGTAATTTTAGCTTTATGATTTATTTTTTGAAATATAGAGAAATTTTCAACGATTTATGTGAACTAGCAAAAATTAAGTACAATGATAATATTATTTTCACTTCTCATAATAAACAAAAAGCGATGTGGTCATTCATAAAATCGGAAGTTAACTTTAAAGCAAATTCTACCAATATTGAATGCCTTAATATTAATAATATAAAAATTTATGATCAGCTATCAATTGCCAACGCATTTAATAATTTTTTCGTTAATGAAGCTTTTAATTTGACTTCAAATATAACTATTGATCCGGTCATATCAAATGCAATCTTTTCTAAAATAAAAACTAATTCAAATTCCTTTTATCTATATCCTATATCCTCCGAGGAATTGTCGCATGCAATTTTTTCTCTTAATAATTCTTATTCCTCAGGACCAGATGAAATTTCATCTGACATTTTAAAACAATTTTTCCCATTATTTATTGATAAACTTCTCATATGTTTTAATAACGCTATCGATGAAGGCACCTATCCAAATCATCTTAAACATTCAAAAGTTAAGCCTCTTTATAAGAAAGGGGCCACTGATTTAATTAATAATTACAGACCAATTTCATTATTAAATACTTTTGATAAAATTTTTGAAAAAATCTTACATAGTCGCCTTAATAATTTTTTAACAAAAAATGGTATTCTATTTAAAAATCAGTTTGGATTTCGACAAAAATGCTCAACATCCCATTCTATATACACTTTATTACATGATATTGTTTATTCTTTTGAAGATGGTAGCTTTTGCATTACAATTTTTTGTGACTTGTCCAAAGCCTTTGATAGTATCTCCCATGATATCCTTTGTAATAAGCTTGAAAAATACGGCGTACGTGGTTTAGCTCTTGACTTATTTTCGTCTTATTTATCAAACAGGACTCAGTCTGTTTACTTGAGCGATGATGATGGTTCGGTAATAATATCAGACAAATTAAATATCAAACTCGGTGTCCCTCAAGGTTCAATACTTGGACCTTTATTATTTCTTATATATATAAATGATCTTCCAAATTGTTCAGATCTTTGTAAATTTATACTTTTTGCTGATGACACTAGTATTATTGTTAAGGGAAATTCTTTGGAAGAAATTAGTTACAAATTAAATTTAGTAATGGCTTCAATTTCCAATTGGTTTAAATCCAATAATCTTTTACTCAATAATGATAAAACCCAAATAATGTCATTTCGTACCGTTAATAAAATTAATAATGAGATAAGCTCGCTGAACGTAAATGATACTATTTTCAAATTTTCTTCTATCTCAAAGTTTTTAGGCATACAATTGCATAAAAACTTAAATTGGGACTATCACATTGATTCTATACTAACACCTAATTTAACAAAAACGTGTTTTATGTTAAGAGTTCTTAAATCTAAGGTTAGTTTAAATTGTCTTCTCTCAATTTACTATTCCAATTTTTACTCACACATCGCATATGGAATCCAGTTTTGGGGGTTCTCTCCATCTCTTAACCGCATTTTCAAACTTCAAAAAAGAGCTTTGAGAATAATTTTTTCTATTAGTCCTTTATCTTCTTGTAAAAACATTTTTCGTGAACATAGTATTCTTACCGTTCCCAGTATATTTTTGCTCATTACTTTATCGTTTATAAAAAATAATCCTGAACGTTTCAATTTGTCTTCAATGTCGAATTCTCATTACAAGACAAGAAACTTAACTATTAAAGCACCAGTATTTAAACTTGCAACGTCTTTTAACTCAATTGACGGATTTGGAATTCAACTTTTTAACTTACTACCACTTCACATACGAAAACTAAATAATCATAAATTCCACAATACTATAGTAAAATTCTTAAAAGCTCAATATTTCTATGATATTTCAGAATTTGTTAATTTTGATATTAAACAATACTTTGCTAACCAATGATAATTTAGTAATCATCTGCCTCTCATTCATGTCATCTTTTCCCTAAATTTTATTATTTAATAAATTTTACTAACCCTTTCTATATAAAATATCTTTTATTCAAATTCATTTATTAGTATATTTCTTTTTTGATACTGCGCTTCTTCCTTTTTGCAGATCCACATTAGAATTTGACGCACATTAACGGACAGGATTGATTCAAGTCTATTTTCTATCAGCAACTGTCGACATTGCATTTATTATTCCTGATCTTCTAACGGTGCCCAAAACGAAGATATTAAATTGTGTATCATATTCTGAAAACATGCATTGATTATCTAAAATGTTTCAGTTGGTCTCAACTGAACATATCTAATTTTTCTTTTCATTCCAGACTTGGGATGAACTCGGATCGCGTCACTTGCGGTTTCATGATCTCCGATATATATATATTTAATTTTTTGTTTTGTTTTTTCATATTTTAGCGTAAATACGCGTTACCCATGTTCAAAGTCACTCAGAAATTGAGTGGTAATGTTCATGATTATGTAACGTACAATAAAGCGTTTGGAGGTGAAATTTCTTTATGTCTGAGACTTTTCACCAAACTATAAACTATAAACTATAAACTATAAACTATAGTAACATGTTGGAAAATAAACACACTAGTTAAAAAAATGATAGATTTTTTATGATGATAGATATGATAATGGTCATACTAAACATACTAAAATATAACAGCCCAACGATGAGTGATTTAATTTAAAAAAATCATCAAAGTTTGAAAAAAATTGTGACCAAAGTCGTTTTTGTGATATGATCAGTCAAAATTTTGAAAGTCTAGATTAATTAGTTTTGGTGAAAGTTCAGTACTTAGTTTTTGGTGAAAGTAAAATACTTAGTTTTTGAAATAACCAGTTAAATATTTTATCCACTAATATATAGCTAAACCTCAATTTCGGTTGAATTGCGCTCTATTGGCCCGCGTAACAGACAGGTTACATTCCAAATTTTTCGATATTTTACCAAATAATTACGGCTTTTTTGTGAGATGACGCATAAATCTTAATTCTACAATGTTGTCAACAAAACTTATCAATATTTATGCCCTTTGCTAGACCTTTCAACCTGTAATAACATTTTTCCTACACAGAAGTAAAAACATCGTAGGCAATTGTGACTTGAAAGTCACAGAACTCATTAATAACAAA